AGAAAACTTTATCAGACAGAATAGACCAGAGATGGCGGATAACTGAACAGAAGCCATGAGAGAGACTACAGCGGACAGTCCGTGACTGGGCTGAACACCCAACCGCTCCGTTGGGTAGGGGATAATAGCAGGGCAGATGCCACAGCCGCGGTGGCGGAGAAGAAGCCCGCAAAGCACTGGAGCCTGAGTGAGACAAGACAAGATTGGTAAATAACAGCAAGACTATGGCAGTCAGAACTATGGCATAAACCCAAATGGTCTGACAAAGGACAGAGAAACACAGGGAGCTATAAAGGGGAAGGAAACAAATGAAACAGGGAACCGGTGCGAGAGTTGATGAGCTAACAAGCAGGGAAACAAGGGGGCGGAGCACAACCACGGGGACAATGAGCACGTGGCGAGCTGTCAAAACAAAGCCACACGCTCGACAAAACACCATACGACACAGACACAGAGACAGCAGAAACACAGGTGATCAAACCAGAGACCCGACAGTAAACACCCCCCTGGAGCGTCCAAGGAGGAGGCTCACCTCGTCGCCGACGGAAGTCTGCAATCGGTCCATAATGTCCCGAGACAGCACCCATCATCTCTCCTCTGGAACATAGCCCTCCCAGTCCACAAGATAATTAAAGCCCCTGCCACAGCACCGCTCGTCGAGTAATCTCCTAATCGTGTAGGTAGGAGAGCCATCCTCAAGACGAGGTGGAGGGGGGGCGGGGCAATCGCCGGCAGGGTTGAAGGGAGAGGAGAACACAGGTTTAACCTTAGAGACATGAAATACAGGGTGAACCCAACCAAGAGCAGGAGGGAGCTTGAACCTGACAGCCACCGGATTAACCACCTTGGTGATACGGTATGGACCAATGAACTTTGGTGCCAGCTTCAGTGGCCAAGGAGGGCCACCAGAAATGCTGACGGATGGCAAACGACATTCCCCGAATTCCTGGATGGCAGACCAACCTGGACGAATGACCCCACTGAAGGACTTAAGGGTGCAGCGCAGCAGGCACAAACAACCTGCCCGCCGGACACTCCTCTGGCACTTGCACCCCTCGTCTGTCCTCCTCCACTCACCACTCGATACACCAGGAGAAAGCCCCGACCACCACCCCTTTGGGAAGGATGGCTTTGGCCATAAGCTCCCTCTCCGGAGCCTCAAACAGCATTGGGCTTGACGTTCTTAGACCCAGGCCAGTACGAGAGGGTGAAGTTAAACCGGCCAAAGAAGAGCACCCAGCGAGCCTGGCGTGAGCTCAGCCTCTTGGCAGAACGGATATACTCAAGATTCTTATGATCCGTCCAGAAGGGCTGTGCTGACCCCTCCAACCAATGACGCCACTCACCCAATGCCAATCTCACCGCCAACAGCTCTTTGTTGCCTATGTCGTAATTACGTTCTGCAGGGCTGAGGTGGTGAGAGCAAAAGATAGCACTGGGCTTGACGTTCTTACACCCAGGCCAGTACGAGAGGGTGCAGTTAATACCGGCCAAAGAAGAGCACCCAGCGAGCCTGGCGTGAGCTCAGCCTCTTGGCAGAACGGATATACTCAAGATTCTTATGATCCGTCCAGAAGGGCTGTGCTGACCCCTCCAACCAATGACGCCACTCACCCAATGCCAATCTCACCGCCAACAGCTCTTTGTTGCCTATGTCGTAATTACGTTCTGCAGGGCTGAGGTGGTGAGAGAAACATGCCCACGGGTGCACCTTTCCATCGCAGTGGGACCGCTGAAATAGAACTGCGCCAACCCCGACATCCGATGCATCAACCTCGACAATAAACTGGAGCTCAGGATCTGGAACCAACAGAACATGTGCAGAGATAAAATGGGACTTTAAAGTATCAAAGGCTACCTGAGCATCCTGGTTCCACCTGAAGGACACTTTAGTGGAGGTTAACGCTGTAAGCGGTGCAGCGATCTGACCAAAATTCCTGATGTAACGCCGATAAAAGTTTGCGAACCCCAGAAAATGCTGCGGGGCCTTGCGGGAGATGGGAACAGGCCACTCAGCGACAGCCTTTATCTTAGCGGGGTCAGGTTTGATTCTGCTGGAGGAGATGAAATGGCCAAGGAGCGTTTCAGACTCTGCGTGGAATTCGCACTTCTCCGCCTTGACAAACAACTGGTTCTCTAACAGACGCTGGAGGACCCGTCTAACATGCTGGTTGTGTAACTGGAGAGAGGGAGAAAAAATTAAAATATCATCTAGATACACAAAGACAAACTGATTAATCATGTCACCCAGAACGCTATTGACGAGGACCTGGAAAACGGCAGGAGCATTGTTGAGACCAAACGGAAGATCCAGATACTCGTAGTGCCCCGTGGGAGTGTTAAATGCCGTCTTCCACTCATCCCCCTCCTGAATGCGCACAAGGTGATTGTGGAGGTCTAATTTGGTGAAAACCCAAGCTCCCTGCAATAATTAAAAAGCAGAAGACATTAATGGTAGGGGGTACTTGTTTTTAACTGTAATGTCATTCAACCCTCTGTAATCAATACAGGGACACAAAAACCCCGCGCCAGCGGGAGAAGAGGAGTGTAGAATAAGCCCAGCCTGAAGTGATTTGCGTAATATACTTGTCCATTGCCTCTCTTTCAGGACTGGACAGGGAATACAATCGACTCCTGGGTGAAGAATTGCCCGGGAGGAGATCTATGGCACAGTCTTAGGGGTGATGCGGAGGTAGCAAGGTGGCTCGAGACCTACTAAAGACCGAGCGAATATCACGGTACTCCGCCGGGACGCCAGTCAGATCAGCTGGCGAAACACAAGACACAGAGACAGGAGAAAAGGCTGCGCCCAAACAAGACACATGACAGGACTGGCTCCAGGCTAATACAGAATTACTAACCCAGTCTACGTGAGGATTGTGCTGTTACAACCAAGGATGCCCTAAAATTAAAGGAGTCTTGGGGGAATCAATGATGTACAGTTCAATATTCTCACAGTGGTTACCAGAAAGAAAAAGGCTTACACGAGGTGTGACGTGAGAGGACTATCCACTAGCGACCAGGCCGTAATGGGCTTCGCGAGGAGTATGGTAGGAAGTTCCCCTCGCCCCCGAATCCAGAAGAGCATGGCCAGTGTGTGTCCCCCCTGGAAGGAGAGCTGGAAGGGCAGCTGGGAATGTGTAACTGCAGAGGTTGAACAGGGAAAGATGCCCACCAGGACTCTCCAATTGCCTACTTGTCACTTTGAATGGAAAATGTTTCCTAAATGGCAATAAGTAATTAAACTTATTATCTTAAAGTATTTATAATAACATTTTTAATGTGTCAGTTTTATCGTTGTACCATACCACTAGCTAAATTGTAGATATCCTCAAAAGTATATATATTTTTTATACTTTGATTTGTTTTGTACAAAGTGCTGACCTATTTCTGATTAGTGAGGCTCTAAAACAGGTAGATAATGTAGATAATGAGAGATTGTACATTAAATTTTAAAGGTGACAGAAAATGGGCCCAGGAGAGTGGAATGTGAGAATCTGAGGGAGTAAAAAGCAGTGGAACTGACATTAGCCTTCACCAATTAAACATGAGGATACAAAATTATGCATGAACCTGATAAACGATCACATTCTAACATGTATTTTGCCACCACTGAAAATCTTTTGATGGAATCTTTGCAATAAAATGTCCCTGAGAAGTTATTTATCTTTTGTGGTGAAGCAGGAAGGAGACACTGCTTAATACATTATTAAATGTATAAATAAATGTCTGTTTTAACATCGCGTAAAATATTCATGAGGATGTATGAAGTGGGAACAAAGCTGTACTCTTGCCTGCAGGTTTAGTTCTCAGATCTTCTGGGCTTCTCCATCATTGTCTCCATGCAGTAGTTTCTGTACTTTCTTCTTTTACTAATAGGCAACATGAAGAAATGCACAGGGATGTGTGGTCTCTCCACCTTCATCTGTTACAGTGGTTTATGGCCATTAGGTGCATGGGAATTTACGGTAAAATTTACCGTCCTGTAATTACATCTGTAATTAATTTCTGTAGTTACATCTATAATTACAATGTTGATACTACCTCTACGCCTTAAACCTAACCAGACCACCAAACCTGATACTAACCTTACCTGTATCCCACCTCAATAGCAGCAAAAGTGTATTTTCAAAATGAATAATCCAGTAATTGATGTAATTAAATTATGAGTCTGTTACATGCAATGGTCAGCAGCTATACATGACAGAAATCACACACACACACACACACACACACACACACAGGGACTAAATGTGCAGGTGTTTTACTGTAAGTACACCATTGCTATTTACTACTTACTATATGGTTTAAGGCTAATTTCTTATGTACAGTATATTTTACTGTTATTACTGCAGTAAGTACTTTTAACATGCTGTAAAAATACTGTAAAAAGTATCCTTTTTTTTTCTTGCACATGTACCTTGGTAGCCTAAATGATATAATTGTGATATGGTAAGTATGTAATATGATACTTGTGAAGTTCCTATCTAACCAGTCTAATCAGGACATTTTTTTCCCCTGATTAATGATACGAGTTCTGCTTTTTGTTTTGTGTGTGAGTATGAATGCATATTTGAATGCATAATTAGATGCCATGTATATTCAGACATTAATTTCAGAACATTTCAATCACAAATATGGTAATACTTCAGTAAGCTATTGCCATATGGAATCGTCACTATAGAATTAGCCACAGTTCCTACTATGGCACACTAACAGTCTAGAGACTCAAATACAAAATAGTTGAAGATCCAAAGTAATGAAACGAAAAAAATCATTATCTGGCCTTAAAGCCATGGTAATGTAAATCTCAAGGAGAGAGAGAGAGAGAGAGAGAGAGAGAGAGAGCGCGAGAGAGAGAGAGAGAGAGAGAGAGAGAGAGCCCCACACTTCATCTCAAGACACTTTCATCAGAGAGCATCACCTGGCTTAGATGCTGTTGTATGGTTCGGTCCACCGCGAGCGAGAGAGAGAGAGAGAGAGAGAGAGAGCCCCACACTTCATCTCAAGACACTTTCATCAGAGAGCATCACCTGGCTTAGATGCTGTTGTATGGTTCGGTCCAGCTCACAGACGCGTCCGCATTCACTCATGCACTTCAGGATTTGTCTGCACCTTCAAAAGGAATAGAACTCGCGGACTGTACATACTACAACTGTAGTGCAACAAGGGGCATTTCAGCAGTAGCCTACCGGGGATTTTCCAAAGGAACACAAATCGACAGACAGCTGCAAAGCGTGTCGCGTATTTAGGACAATAGTGGACTACCACCGACTTCTCTGGTTTCTGCTTTTGGTTTCTTTCAGTCAAGATTCGATTGTGTGAACAACCTGAAGATGTCTTCCCCAGACCGAAGGAAATACGTGCGTGATCTGGCGCTGGAGATCGCCGTAAGATTGCTGCTCTTTGGAGTTTTTGTGTAAGTAGGCTACCTGCATTTGATTTCATATGCGTGCACATTACAATACAATGTCATATGCAAGCTGTGCAATATATAGTGAAAAATATGACGTGTTAGTGGAAACGTGGCTTAAATATCAAAGATACCCATCCAATTAAAATGGTATACTTGTAAATAAATAATAGCCTAATATTAAAGAAGCATAATTATTTTGATTTTGAGGTGTAGGACCTATTTTCTTTACTCAGTGGTATATCCGATTGATCGGGTGTTTCAAAGTTTTGATAGTTTAATTATCAAATGTATCTTGAATAACCAAGGTGAAGAAGAGCGTATAAAAGAGGGTAACACTTTACTTGCAGATTGTATATACTTTAATGGATTTTAAAAGCATTCTTAATGCATTGATAATACTTTATAATGCACCTTATAAGCTGTTATTGTAAATAATTATACCCACAGTCATAACATACTTATTTATTCATAATGTAGTTAAAATAAATAAATAAAACGATAGTGTTATAGATTACAAATATTTATAAACATGTAACCATCTAAGGGATTACAATTTATATTATAAGATTATGAAATCATTTAATGGCTACACACAGGATTCAAGTAAGTGTTACCAAGGAGATTTCTTGAAATGCATGGTACAAAGGCAAGCACCAACATAACCTGCAGAAAGAACAAGATGAGAAATTCTGTCTATAGCAAGAGACAGTCTCGTGCTTTGTGTGCAAACAGGTTGTTGGGGTTCTTAATTCAAGGATTTCTGATAGGAAATATATAGTACCTTTCTTTTATTTATTTATTTTTTAATAAGGCTGTGTTAGCTAGCAAGAGCTGATGTCCTATTGAGATGACTTACTGTTATAATATGTTGGCAATAATGAAATGAGATGGTTTGGGTGAGGTTTTCAATAAATAAGGCCTGAGACTTGCTGCAGTTTCATTAATCTTTTGGGTAAATGGCCCCCTGCCATGCTAGATGATTTTCAGTCCCTAGAACAGTACTGCCTGCGCACAGAAATGTAATCAGCTGTGCTTTTCAGTTTATTCCATGGTTTTATTGAAATAACTGCAGATAAATGTTCAGATAAACCTAAGCAATGTGTGCATGCCTCCTGAAATTAATGGTGAAAAGAGGAAAATGTGGATGTGCATGCATGTGTCAAAAATACAGGGGGAATAAATGTGATGTCTTAGACCAGAGAAAATCTGGCCTTAGGTCACCCTTTTTTGTATAGTTAGGACTGGGAACTTAATTCTGTCTTGAACAAAGAAACATTACACAGAAATATAACATATTACCTAGAAAGAACAGAAAAAAAGGCAAACGTTTCACTGTTGATTAAAGAGCAGCCTGGCTGCCTGATGTTGACGATGATTGCCAGTAGTGTTTACTAAAGCAAAGATCACTATTACTACTCATGACTCATCCTGCAACGTTTGTGCTATGGGCATGAATGATACCTTGAGGATTTAAAAAAAAGGAAAAATCCAAGTCATCTTCAGAAAAAAAACAATTTGTGATTTGAACCAGGAAGTAACGACCTAGCAACTATCTAGAACACACTTGCAACATAACATCTACTCAAACCACCTTAGCAACTGAAAGCAATACACTGACAACCACTCACAACACTCTAGCTTTGTGGTAAGTGCCACTCTCATTTTCTTTAAGTTGTTACTGTGGTGTATTGATATTCAGGTTTGATTGTGGCGTTCTTCGTGTGTAACCCAATATAGTAAATGTTAGCACATTTGTACAATATCTGCTCTCTTTTCTGGCACATGATTATTTTATAACTGCCAGGTGTTGTCTGCTGCAACAGGAATCCAATGAAACTCATTGTCTTTACAATATGAGTCTATGAGTAGAAAAGCTGGCCTCCAAGCACATCTGCTGCCTGTCAGCAATTCCATGACCTGCTCCAGATTTGCCCCGAGATATCAGCCATCAGGAGACTGCATGCCTTCTGAATGCTGATCACAAGATATGTCTATAGTGAAAAAGTATAAAAAATTATAGTATTTTTATTTTTTTGTATTAAAGCATATATTAAAAGGAATAGTTCACCCCAATATTGTAATGTAATGACTTTTGTTTTCTTTTCTGGAATACAAATGATGGTATTAATAAAAATGTCTCTGCTTATTATTATTATTATTATATTTTTTGTTCACACAATGATGTCATTGTTTTAGACTTTACTGAGTTTAACTGTATGGACAGATAGGTTGAATTATTTGTCAAAATAGATCATCTTATTGTGTTTCTAAGCAGAAAGAATGTCATACAGGTTTGGTACAAGTTAAGTTGAGTGAATGAGTAAGTGATGATGACAGAATTAACATTTTTGGGGGAACTTCTTACATTCAAATTTTCTATTTGACTATGTTGAAAACAGTTATTCCACTGGTTGTCATCTTCCACTTGTTGTTCTGGGTAACAATGCAGTGGGAAACAAGCCGGAATCTGTTCCAGCAGCCTTGCGTATGAAGCACTGGAACAAAACAATCTGGAACACGCAGCTGAAAGTAGACCTGAAGGTTTGCTGGCCGGAGCTTAAAGGGATAGTTCACCCAAAAATGAAAATTAGCCCATGATGTACTCACCCTCAGGGCATCCTAGGCGTATCTGACATTCCTCTTTCAGACAAACACAATCGCAGTTATATTTAAAATTGTCCTGGCTCTTCCAAGCTGTATAATGACAGTGAATGGTGCACCTGTTTTTGAAGCCGAAAAAACTGCATCCATCCATCCATCCATCCATCCATCATAAAACTACTCCACACGGCTCTGGGGTGTTTCTGAAGCGAAACGATGCGTTAGTGTAAGAAAAATATAGATTTTTAAAAATGTATAAACCGTAATCTCCAGCTTCTTGTCGCTCAAGCAGGTGCGTTCACGACAAGGCGTTCAAGCGTATGACGTAGGCGTAGAGGAAGACGCAACGTAAACTCCGGAGAGAAAGTGACGAACGCGGAAGCACAGAGGAGAAAGAAAAACAAAACATCTGTCACGAACTAGTACTAAAAAAACGAAGATTCTGAGTGGAAAATGCGGGAGGATTTCGATATAAGGCAAGAGGAGAATGAGTTTTTTGCCTAGCCATATTTGTTTGAACTGGAGTATACCGACCAGGAACTCCGTGAGATGGAGGAGGCTGCAGCGGCGGGGCACAAACTTCAGATGTAGTTCACGTGGTTTCCCTGTGCTGTAAACAAAACTTGGTTCTCGCGAGACTACACTCTTCTTCCCGGAGCTTACGTCGCGCCTTCCGCAACGCCTACGTCATATGCTCGAGCGCCTTGTCATGAATGCGCCTGTCTGAGTGACCGGAAGCTGGAGATTACAGTTTGTTTGTTTTTTTCCTTACACTAATGCATGGTTTCGCTTCAGAAGGCCTTTATTAACAATCCAGAGCCATGTGGAGTAGTTTTATGATGGATGGATGCACTTTTTTCGGCTTCAAAAACAGGGGCACCATTCACTGCCATTATACAGCTTGGAAGAGCCAGAACAATTTTAAATATATCTGCGATTGTGTTTGTCTGAAAGAGGAATGTCAGATACGCCTAGGATGCCCTGAGGGTGAGTACATCATGGGCTAATTTTCATTTTTGGGTGAACTATCCCTTTAACCTGGTTGCGAATGTCTTCTGCTCTCTAGGCCAGAGACTCATACTTGATCAACACAGAACTTAGTTGTAATGTCTCTCCCCTTACAGACCTGAGACTCTGATAGAGTCTGTTGAAAGGGTACATTTATCCCTTTCTGATGAGGAGGAGATTGCAGTCGTAGGGGTATCTATTTCAGTGTTATGATTAGCTGTTGGCATTAGAGGTGTTGCCAGAGTGTGGCCCACCCTTCTTTCCCCATGTGAAACTCATTAGTATACTAATCTAAAGCATGCCATTAGAACAGTGTCTTTAAAGTTTCACCTGTGCATTATTCACTTCCCAAACAACCACCAGAATACCTTTGGCAATGATCTGAAAGCATAGAGACTAAACATGAAAAGAAAAAAGATTGAACTATCATGTATGTATTCATTTGTATGTTAACAGTTGCATTTGTGTAGACTGTTTAAACTTCAAATGGCTGTCAATGGGAATACTTATTTCTCTGATCAAGTTTGAGGTGGATGTGTCGCAGTTTCTATTGATTTTTAGGTTTCCAAACAGCTATGAATGGATTTGGATAGATCTTTGTGGCCCCACTTTGTTTTATCACTGGGTCCCATCAGTGCTGCATCCAGAGTTCAAGTCATTTTTATGGTGGTCCCAAACTAATCATTAGGAATGAGTTTCATAATGAGTGAAGGGCAGTTAGTTCCTTAGAAGACCAATGAAATGTCCTGACCTTTCCAGTTCTGTTACTAGGGGTCTTTTTCTTGCCCTCTAAAGGGAATCTGGCAGTTGTCCTAGCAGCTTTATCTGATGGACATTTGTTTGTTAGTCCACCACGATCCAATAAAAATGCAGCAAACCCTTCTCCACTATGACAGTCAGAAAGGGGCCCTGGAATGCCATAGAATAAGCTGCTCAGTGCTCACTACATCTCCTAGTAACTGACCATTTCAAATAACACAGAATACAATGTGCAGCATTACCT